ACACAAACAAATAGCAATTGAAGCATTCTTTAGCCAGCAACCGGTTGAACCACCACATTAGCAGCTGCCCTAAAATCTGATACAGCATCCAACAGATGATGATTTGCTTTCTCAAAGTTCACGAAACCCATAAACCAAAACTCATGTCCATCAACTGTCTCGATCTGAATGTATTTCTCTGGTGGGTTTTCTCTCGCAATCACTGGATTCACAGATGCAATGTTTCCCAAAGGTATCATCACCTGTTCAATGATCCACACGTTATTCTCCGATTAATAATACTTCAAACGGTTTTAAACTGTTAGAGAATCGACAAGTTACCTTGTAATAGCTCCAAGTTTCTTGTCCAGATGGAGCTCTGAAAGATAATGGACGATCGCTACAAAAAGCCACACGAGCTGTTGAGAGATAGAGTGTTCCAGCAACAGGACCAGTTGTAGTGGAAAGATAACAGGCAAATGTCTTCTTCAGCTTTTCATTTGGATCAGTAGCAAAAATCTGCTTGAACAGAGCCTCAAATCCCCCTTCTGTTAAAGCCTTGGCAGTCAAATTGACCTTCCCCCAAGCAGCTTCCGACACAGATGGTCCTGTTTTCACTGCAATTTCAATCAAACGATGCTTTAATCATGAGATAATCTTTAATCAAGGGAAACAATATTAATTTCGGAACTTACAGTTGTGCCAGATATTACGGGCTATGGTCTCAGTTTTGTGACTCCAGGAATTGAACACGTTGACGACATATTCAAAAGGGTTATCTGCTGGTTTGTCGATGGGGGAATAGACGAGATAAGGATGGTTGTGGTAATACTGGTGGGGTCCTTCAGGGGTCCAAAGGGCTGCTCTCTGATTATCTGGGTGAACTTCTGGTGCTGCCGGCGGACCCATAACGTGAGTGCCCCATTTCTGTGAATCTGGTTGAACCTCTGGTTCTTTAGCTTTTGGAGAAGATGGAGTTTCTGGGTAGGATTTGTTCTCCTCAGGCGTGCCTGTCATGATTGTTAGGTACCAGATTTCAACTGTAACTCAAATCAAAGAGGGTTTTTTTTAACTTTTTTTTGACGGTTTGTTGTTGAAGATAAGAATTGAACACCGATCTATTATATAAAAACAAGAAGTCTTTACTTTGTGATTAAGATTGGTTGAAGTGTAGAACCTTAGCCGCATGAGTCTTCTAGAATGATGTATACAAATTTACTAGTGTTTACCAAATGCTGATGATGTTTCCAGATGGAAAGATATTGAGCTCTCACGTATTCATATCCGGTCCACACGTTGGATATTACTTTCATATTCATAAAATTTTGTAGATTTAGCCACTCCATTCTTTCATTATCGTATTTGGTTATTGACATTTTACAATGTTCCAACTCTCAAGCCTCGTTTGGCCCCCATTATTTGCCTTTTAATTTTTGGAATAATTTTTATTTTTTTAAGAATGTGTTATTAGAAAAGAAGAAACTTTTTTGAGTTTACATGTAATATTATTTTATTTAAGAATATGTGGCTCATCAATAAAGATAAGAAAAAGATAAGTCAAATGACGGTGTAATAGAAACTATGAAGTTCTAAATAAAAATTATTCAATTGTTAAACGTAGATTACAATCAAAATTAAGTCCTAATCATCAATAATTTTCCAAAACTTACACTATCTCAAATCTGAAGCGATCGAATTCTAATTATTGTTGTTGTATCTGAAATATGAAATATTGTCTCCTAATGTGGTCGTGGCGGCAAGTGCGGGTAGGCTATTTTGGTTGGGATGAGATGGGATGGGCTAGAAAAACTTTTATTTATTTATTTATTTTAATAATTTTATGTGAAAAATATAAAATTTTCATTTTGCCATTTTTAAAATTGTTCAAAGTCTAAATCTTTCTCCTAGTGAATTAATATAGACCCTTCTGTATGTCCTTCCATCGCAAGGAATAAAAGGTTTGGGATCCCAGTTGTAACAAAAGAAATATTAAAGTAAAAGATGAAAAAAATTGAAAATTTGGAATCGCATATGCAATTATCCATTTTTCTTTTTGAGTCTCTCACGTCATAGTGACTCTATTTACCATGCGACACGTGATTGGCCAAGACAGTGGAGTCCATCCCATTACTATTTACTTCCCTTTACATTGAAATCTGGATCAAATTTTCTTCTCTCCTCGCCTACCAAAAAATCGTTCAGTTTGCTAGCAGGAATCATGAGTTACCAGCATGTTCATCAAGGACCCTATCCTCCACCAGGCAAGAACCCCTCAAATTTATAGTTAATAAACTTTTTGATTGTGTTTATTGCATATGAATGTTGGTTAACTTTATCATATCATTTTTAGGGTATAATCGGCCACCAGGAGATTACCCACCACCACCAGGTCCACCACCAGGTCCACCGGGGTACGGTCGACCAGGTCCACCACCAGGTCCACCGGGGTACGGCTATCCTCCTCCGCCTCGACCTCCTGGGCCCCCTTCTTATCAGGGATACTTCAATAATGATTTCCCTCCACCGCCACCGCCACCACCACAGCACACCCAACACCACCGCCATGAGAACCATAGTGGATGTTGCTCAGTTCTCAAGGGCTGGTACGTCATCCCTCTCTCATTCGACAAACTATTCAATTATTAATGCATCGGCATGATTCAGTTATAATCAACATTTCACTTGTCATTTGATAAATTTACATACTCAATATACTCAAATACTAGATCCCTCACATAGATTTTATAGTTGACTCCTGTATACCGCAACTAGCAATTCTAGTTCTGAGAATAATTCTTCTAAATATGTTAATTCGTTTGAATTTTGTGTTGGAAAATGATAATAAAGTGGTAAGTGGCTGATATTTAAGAGAAATCCAATGATTCCAAGGCCGAACACCTCCTCCTCTGTGATAGAGATGTTCGTGATATATTTGATTTTTCCAAACTATATTTGGAGCGAGGAAAATTAAAGATCAAATTCAGTCTATTAAAGTTGGAAATTGACCTTTAGTTCATCCCACAACTGTGATTTTGGGATATTGTTGGCTACTGTTAGAAAATAGGGAGCTGCTAATTATTCTCGCATTTCACACCCTACTATTGACACCATATCCCTTTTTTGCTAACTAGAGGGCTGTTTTGTCGACGAGTATTAATCCACACCGTAATTTCTCATTCACCACTCTTTTTCCTCATAAACACAGTGTTTACTGAAATCTCGCTCGGGTAAGGGATCCTTGACAATAACATATATATAATGCGTAAAAGTATCGTCACATGAGAAAAAGTCTTAGAATAGTATCAATTTGTTATCAAATTCGAATATAAATTTAACAAAAGAGATTTATGTGCTTATGTCTAAATTATCTACTAATTATCTAAGATGATTTTGAATTAAATATGAGATGTATGTGTTGTAATTTCGAATCCACATATTGTTATCCTATTTTCAATTTTTGACGGTATGTAATCTAGCGTGACTTGTGTATTTTTGACAATCGATAATTCAATTTTATTTAACTATCTTTCACGATGTGAGTTAAAAGCACAACTCAATCATATTCTTAATCTGAATTCACGTGCAAATTAATGTGTTAAATCTTATGGTTGTCTATATTATTGCACGCATCATACACGTTATTTTTAACATCTATTGCTCGTATGTTCAATTGCAAAGTTCTAAACTTATCATGAACATCATGAAAATATAATAAGCAACTAATTACCTCAATAATGCGTAAGCATTTAAATAATTCAACAAGACGTACAAGATTGATCGAGAAACACAAATAAACTAAACAACTTGGTATTTGAATTAAAAATAATAAAATAATAAAGTTCATCTTCATCTAACGCAATAAAGATTTAGCTTAGCATGATTAATGATGGTACAACAAGAAGAATGAAAAGTCATCACTTGAAATTTATACGAATACAAAAAATGTGGAATCAATTTCTTGATCTTGATCTTCAATCTCGAGTCTTGATTCTTCACCTTCTTGATGTTATTTGTTTTGGATTCCTTACCAGGTATGCTTATCTCCTTCAATTATGGTAAAATGGCCTATTATTTGAATGGTTTTTATGTTATGATGTGATGTTTACCGTATGAGAGGTGTCTTAAATGGTTGTCCACGTTCTGTACTTAAAGAGGTAAGAATTAGTTTGGGAATCTTGTTAAAGTTACTTTCCGTAAGGAGTTCCGGCCGAAAAACGAAACTGGTCCGTCCTCCAGAAATTACCCCATGCGATCTCATGGGTAGTATGTTGCGATCACATTGTTATCCACTTTTGCTCTCGGGTTTGCCAAATTTTGGGGTTGCTATTAGGGTTGCAATAGCATCCCTTTACGTCTATGGGACCAAGTGGTCCCTAACTTTTCTCCGAGGGTGTAATTTAGTCATTTTTCTTGCAATTTCAATCATTTGTCTTCAAATAGCATACAGTTGACTCCAACATTCTCAATCATTATTATTCCTTGGTATGAATCAACTTTTGGATATTTTCAATTTAGTCCTTGAACTTGAAATTTTTTCTTTTTCGTCGATTTTCTTTCTTTTAAATTCACTTCCAATCATTAGGTTTTACCTAACAAACAACATATACAATAGATTAAGTTATAATTCATCAAAATTACTCGTAAATCTCTATATTTAACAGCCTAGATAAGTCCATAAAATGCACTTATCAAAAATCACGTAATTTGAATATTTTTTTGTGTTCAAGCAAAATTATAACATATCTCAACAAGTACGCATATAATAAATTTGGTCGGATTGAAATCTTTGTGTCAGTTTATGAACAATTTCAAAATCACAATTTAAGAACCAATTACTTTTCTAATGCAGAACTGATGCGAATGTTCGAAGAATTAAGTAAACATCATAAGTTCATGCTTAGCTTCGATTCTCAACCCTTACTGGTCTAATATGTCATTTCTTCCCTAATAAGATATACACCCTCAACTTTGTTTTTTAACACCTTTCTCGAGGTATGATCTAATGTTGAATTCATATACTAGTCCTTATCCTCTCTAATTTGGATGGATCTAACAAATTACAAGTCTACATTCCAGCAAATGGGGATTCTCTTATATTTTTTATTGCTTCAACTTTCAAGACTTGATTGGGCTAATAATCCATTGCTAAAAGTCTAATCCCCTCAAATAAGTGTTTGGGTCTTAATTATGCATATAATACGTCTTCTATTTCATCCACTTGCTTTTTCATATTTTCTTTGCATATTCTGTTTCATGCACTAGTTTTGATCCCTTTTTGAGGTTTTTTTTGGAATTATCAATAAATTTCCTCATTGAGTCCTTTATGGGGCAGCTTTCACTTATTAATCAAGATAGTTTGATTAGTACAATACCTCTCATCAAATACTAAATTTTTAAAAACCAACTTCTAACTTAGGATTCTCACCTAATTTTCATCTTTTTAGGTCAAGACAATTCACACAAGAATTTTTACATATGAAATTCTCATTCATCTCAATATCTCCCCTAGCTATGTCAACGAGCCGATCTGAGCTGAGCTCGAGCTTTTTTANAAAATGAGGCTCGGCCCGAGCCTGAGCGGGCCGAGCCCGGACCGAGCCGTTCGGGTTTTTTTTTTTAATGTCAAATCTACATTTCTACTTAAAAAATTTAAAATTTGTATGGTTTGTACGTGCTATAAATTAAATAAAAAAACTCAGGCTCGGCTCGAGCTTTTTGGGACCGAGTTTTTTTGGGCCCGAGCCGAGCTAGGTAAAGCCCAGCCAAAAAAATAAGGTTCGGTGTAACTGAGCCCGAGCCAGGCCCGGCTCGAGCTTTTTCTGAGCCGAGCTCGAGCCACCCTAGCCGACAAGCTTTTTTGCCCTCCCTAATCTCCCAATAACAGTTCAATTACCTCCAAACTATAATAAAGTAATAAAATTTAACAACAATCACATAAAAGTAATAAAAATTCAATATTTTCCCCACTCCCATACTTAAATCAGATCAGCTTTCAATGTCTCAATATATCATCAATT